TTTATGCCAGTACCATGCTGTTTTGATTACTATAGCCTTCTAGTATAGTTGGATATCAGGTATCGTGATACTTCCAACTGTTTCCTTTTTTCTCGAGATTGCTGAGGCTATTCAGGATCTTTTGTGGTTCCATATAAATTTTAGAATTAATTGTTCTAGTTCGGTGAAAAACGCAATTGGTATTTTGATACAATTGAATCTGTAGATTGCTTTGAGTAGCATAGATATTTTGATGATATTACTTCTTCCTGTCTGTGGTGCATGTTGTCATTGCAGCATTATTTACAGTAACCAAGATATGGACATAACCTAAATGTCCATCAATAGACAATTGGATAGAGGTGGTACATATATACAATGGAATATTACTTGACCATGAAAAAGAATGAAATCTTATCATTTGAAACAACATGGATAGACCTAGATGGTATTATGCTAAGTGAAGTAAGTCAGACAGAGAAAGACAAATACCATATGATCTCATTTATATGTGGAATCTAAAGAACAAAATAAATGAATGAACAAAATAAATGAACAAACAAAACAAAAACAGACTCAGATCCAGAGAACAAACCGATGGTGGCCAGATGGGAGAATGTTGGGGAACTGGATAAAAAAGGTGAATAGATTAAGAAGTATATATTGGTAGTTACAAAATATTCAAGGTGATGTAAAGTACAGCATGGAAAATGTAGTCATTAATATTATAATCATTATGTATAGTGCCAGGTGAGTACTAGACTAATCGAGGGAATCAATTCATAAATTATATAAATGTCTAATTATTGCTATGCTGTACATCTGAAACTAACATAATACTGAATCCGAACTGTAATTGAAAATATAAACAAACAAGTAAATAAATAAAATAAGAAAAAAATAAAAAATAAAAATTATTATTTTACCTGGGCCTTGAAGCAGCAATGCTTGGGTCCTGAGTTTCAGGATAGAAAACAGGAAAGCAATTGTTTTAGCTTATCTTACTATTTTATATTATTTATCTAATTTCATTATCTTATCTCTGAGTTCCCTTCTTTTTCCCAGCTGTGAAATGTCACCCTTTAATCATGCTTCATTAATCATTATATGTATCAATTTACTCAATTTCTTAATTTACTTTCTTCAGTTTACTTGGATTAATTTCAACTACTGAGGTGAAGAAACTATCTTAAAGTTCTCTGTCTTCATGTAGCAATTCTACTGATTTGATATTTTTAACTCCTTTCTAACAGTTTGAATGATAAACATTAATAATATAATTTATCATATTTAAACTGCACAAACATATTGATTCAACAAACAGGTATATCTTTGAATTTTTGTAAATAATCATCTTCATTCAGTTCGACATTCCTAATTTAAACAATGTTACTTATGCTGAGGTTTCCACCTTAAAAATGTATATAGGCAATACTTAAATAATTCTTTCTTCCAGTGGAGGTAGAATCACAGATTTTGAGCAATAAACTAAGAATTTTAGTTTTTTCATTCTAAATCTTGGCTCCGATTTAAAAAAATCTACTTGTTTTGTTTGAGTTATTTTTTCTATGTATGTCTTTTCTATGGTAACAATTCTACTAAGCATGGGTAAATTATTTATCCAGTAAATTATTTGAATCTGGATAAATTGCTTTTAAAATCTGTCCTATGGTAGACCATCATCTACAAAATAAAAAATAAATAATTTGATACTTTGATAACACAGAACTGAATTTCAAATAAAACACTTTTACCATGATAATTTTTTGCTGGTAGAAATCCTAAATTTGTTGTATTACTTGATGTACTTTGACTAAAAGCCACTCCCAAACACACACACACACACACACACACACTAGTAAAGTGCTCATTCTAGAATTATTTAAAGTGACTTTTCTTGCTACTTAACAGTATATTGAAAATTATAGTGGAACAATTAATATTATATTTTTTTGAAATAATATCTCAAAAAATATTTTTTTTAATGAAACCTTTTGCTCTCATTGAGAACATAATTAGGGTAAGAATGTTAGGATCATTGAAAAATCTTCATCATATTGAACATTCAATGCAAAGGAAACATTGTGACTACTCTAACTTGATTACAGCATGGTTCATTTTGGTTTTAACATCACTGGTTGGGTGATAAAGTAAATCATATAAAAAAATAAATCAGGCAGGTTTACCTTGCTTATTTCGTAATGATAAATATAATATAGGTGTTATAGAGTATAGTTTTATTGGCAATTGAATATAATTTAATATTATAAATATGAGATTAAGTCATTTAATGAGCTAAAATATTTTAATTCATTGGCTAGAAATTGGTTGAAAGTAAGTCAACTTGATTATTGTGTATTAAATCTTTCCAAATTTTTTCACTTCTAATGTTGACAAGGGATCCACAGAGGAGGAATCAATCCATGAATAGGAAATCTAATAAAAATTTAGTGAATATACTTTAAAGTAGTGTATGTTCAACCACAGAAATAAAATCAATTATAGTATCTATTATTTATCGAGCACTTATGATGTGTTTGGTACTATGTTATGATCCTGATGTGCTTTAGTTTACATAATCTTTACAACAGTTTATGAGATAAGTAGTTTTATATTCTCTATTTTACAAATTATTTAATAGAAACTGAGGTAGATGAAATAATTTTTCTGAGCTCCAGGAAATACACACACACACACACACACACGCACACACACACACACATCACATTTTATATATAAAAGTGAAAAATATTTTACTGTATAATTTCTTCTATGGGTTATATATCAGAAAATAAGATAATTTCTATTAGGTTTATATATGAATTATGATTGTAGACATTAACTAAAAATAATAAAAATTATAATCATAAAATCATTAAAAAAAAATCTGGTTGTATTATTTCCTGAAGAAGTCTTCAAACTTCTGAATGGTTGAAAACTAATGCTTGATATCTCTGTCTCTATCATCTATCATCTATCTATCATTTATCTATCATTTATCTCACACACACACACTCACACACACACACACACGTACACACGCATGCACATATACATAAGGGAGATACTAAATTCCTTACTTGGGAACATCAGTGTCCAGGAAAACTATAATGAGAACAGATTGTTCTTTTTCTCCCAAATCTCTCTCTGGGCCATTATTTCTTTTCTTTCTTTTTTTTTTCTTTTTTTCTTTTTTTTAGCTTTTTTGAAACATAATAGACATGTAACATTGTTTAAGGTGTACAGTGTTGAGTTGATACACTTATATTATTGCAGAATGATCACCTCCATAGCATTAGCTAACACAAGCATCACTTCACATAGTTACCATTTAATTTTTGTCGTGAGAACATTTAAGGTCTACTCTCAGTAACTTTCAAATATATAGTACAGTACTATTAATTATAATCACGATGTTGTATCCAGAATATATAGCTGGAATTTTATATATTTTAATGAGTATTTCCCCATTTCCTCTAATCCTCAGCCTCTGGTAACCCTTATCCTACTCTCTGTTCCTGTAGGTTTGGCTTTTTTAGATTCTACATATGAAATTATAAAGTATTTGCCTTTCTTTGTCTGACTTATTTCACTTAGTAAAATGTTCTCAAGTTTCATCTCTGTTATCATAAATGTTAAGATTTCTTTGTTTCTCATAGCTGAAAAAATATTTCATTATAAATAATCTCACATCTTCTTTATTCATCCATTGACAGACTCCTTGGTTGTTTTCACATAATGACTATTGTAAATAATGCTTTAATGAACATGGGAGTGCAGATAATTCTTTGAAATCTCGTTTTCATTTTCTTTAAATATATACTCAGATACGGGATTGCTGGAATCCTATGTAGTTCTATTTTTGCTGGAATCCTATGTAGTTCTATTTTTAATTTTTTGAGAAACTACCACACTGTTTTCCATAGTGGGTGTATCAATTTACATTACTATAAACAGTGCAGAAGGGTTCCTTTTTCTCCACATCCTAGCCAACACTTGTTATCTCTTGTATTTTTCATGATAGCTATTCAGGTGTGAGGTGTTATCTTATTGTGGTTTTAATTCTGAACAGCAAAAGAATAGTCAACAAAATGAAAAGACAACATATAGAATGGGAGAAAATATTTACAAACCATATATAAGGACTTCATATCCAAATATATAAAGCATTCATACATCAATAACAACAATAATCAAAACCAAACAATTCAATTGAAAAATAGGCAACAGAGCTCTATAGACATTTTTCCAAAGAAGACATACAAATGACCAACAGATATGTGAAAAGATGCTTAGCATCACTAATCATTTAAGCCATTGCTTCTATTCTTGTGGCCAAATTTTGATACTACTTGGAGGCTGATCTTTTACGACCTGTTCACCTTTGGCTAATGTTACACAGAAGAAAATATTGTTATGTCACGACATCTCTGTGGAACCCCCACAAGGCTCTTGCTTACTAACTTTCTTCCTTATCTATCTAAGCTAAAGATAATGACTTACTAGTACTTTGCATTCTCAGAAATGTTTGTGTCAGACTCAGTACCTACTCCATAGATCTAATGTCCCCAAACTTCTGAATCAACCCACTGTTTCGATCAGTGACTGCTATGCATTTTCTATCTTGGACACATCTCACAGTGTGTGGTAGGGATAAGGGGACTGATATGTGCATGTAATGTTGAGGAACTTTTCATGTACCTGTTGGCTATCTGTATGTCTTCTTCCATAAGTGTCTATTGAGATCTTCAGTGATAAATTTATGGGAAATTAAATTTAATGGGACTATTCCAAATCATAACATTTGCTACTATCTATAAATAGAGATTTTCCACAGAGCATAGAAGAATGAGATTTTGGGGTTTGCATTAAAATGGACATATTAGTAACCATTAATCTATTTTATTTAGAAAAAAATATTGTTAAAGAAAATACTGATAACCCTATACTTTTTCTAACTTCAAGAAAATCCATGGTCTTTTTTTTGTTGTTTCATTTTGTTTTCCTTTTTTCTTGTTCTCCTGTCTGATCACTTGAGGATAGAACCCACGGCCTGAAAGCCACCAGCACCAAAGATATGACATGAAAAGGACCAGAGCCCTTTTCCTCTGTTTCCGTACATTATGGAGATTGGAGCCACATGCTCAATCTTCACCAGGAAGAGGAGGGTTCAAGTCTTTTAGAATTTTTGAGTTCATTAAGCAGATCAGTGAGGTTATAGCGGATTGGCAAGTGAATTCAAGTTCTCATGGCACAGACATTCTAGCAAATGCTGTTTCCTATTAAAAGCACACGTAATCGCAAAGTTTTAGGTAATCAATTATTGGAAAATAATCTTAAATATTTATTATTACTAATAATCAGACAAGCTGAAACTCAATCTTGTGATGAAAAGATAAAGAGAAAATATACATTTACATTATTAAGTAACTGAAATGTAAATGCATCCTAACCTTTTTATCTATCAAAACTAAAGATAATGGCTTACTAGTGCTTTGCATTCTCAGGAGTATTTGTGTCAGTAAACGTCTTAACGTTCATTAGGTCATTCAGATTTATGAACTATAATTTTTGCTAAGGATGAGTCAAGATATCCAGGGGATGTATGTGTATGGCAAAATATCATTAAAATGGAGATTCAAATAAATTTAATAGATAATTTAGCTTGCCTACCCTTCATTCTTTCTACATTTCCTACATTGTAAATAGGGGGTGTGACTTGATTTTAACAGATGATTCTTGTTCACTAAATAGATATCATAGCTGCTTAAATTTTAATTTGATCTGCATAAGTGAATGCAGAAAAAGACAACATGAACAATTAGACTAAGTCATTGTTGAGTTTTAAAGTTGGATCATTTTGCAAAACTGATGTTTGTTACTGGTGTGTGTGTGTGTGTGTGTGTGTGTGTGTGTGCGCGCGTGCGCACGTGCGCGTGCATGTACTTGTATATTGTAATTCAAGAAATTTATTGTGACTGTTCACCTGTGCTGTCAGTGTTTAAATATCCCCACAGATGGATCATCAGGACAACTACAGATGGTTTATTTGAATTGCATGTTTAGTTTGTTAGTTGGTGTATAAACTTTAGGCTCGTGTTTCATCTCTAGAATATATGAATATTTATAAAGTTAAATCTAGTTCTCTCTAAATGCAGTATCCCAATTATCATTTTAATACTGTTGCAATCAGAAATCAATAGTTATGCATTATATATTTTATATATATAAGACTAAGCAGATAGGATATTTAACTAGGTTAAATTTTGAAACAAAAGTGTATGAGTTGGAACAATTTTAAAAAATTGTTTTCTTTAAAAAATTGAGTTAAAAGAATTTGATGTTGATATTCTACTTGTAAGATTATTGAATTCAGCTGTACTAATGAAATTAAATCTATATCTTTTGCAGTGCTTTGAATTTATTTAATGATTCATATTGTTCAAAAATTAAATGTAGCCGACATTTAATTTTCCTTTCAGACATGCTTTTAGAAAAGCAATTTAAGAAAATATCTATATTTTATATCTTTGCACAAATGGTTTTAGCATGGTTTATTGCCAGCCAATTCTGGCAATATAATAAAAAGCATTTATTTAGTTATAATTTTTTTCAGATGATACATTTAGCGGTTCTGTTAAATAACAGCAACTTAATGTTTTTAATGTAATGTTCATTAGTTATGACCCATAAAATGCTGTATTATGGAGAAGATAAAATGCTTAAATTTTTTTTGATTTAATGCTTATCCATTACAAATTATGAAGTGGTGATTGTAGTGTCATATATTTAGAAGAGAGAATAGAATGTAATAATATATACAAGGGTCTTTAAAGGCTTCTCTTGTAAGACCTTGCTGTAAATGCAAAACTTACAGTTAAATCAGTTGCTTATTTTTTGATTAATATGGTCCAAAAGATGGGCTTAATTTTAGTAGATGTCAGTTATGTAACACTGGTTACTTCTTAAAATACGGTGCGAGTCAAAGGAAGATTTACGACACAGAATAAGTGTATCCTCACTTTTGCCCAGTAAGGAAGAAAATATTTATGAACAAATGCTATTTAACAGTAATTCACACAAGTTTTAAACTTATACAGAACTGGTTTTAATTTCCATTTTGCTGCTAACTATAATTTACCAAGAAAACTTTTGTTTTCTCATCTATGTTTGGGGTCTAATATTTTAAGGAAAAATCATAAATATGTAATTAAAAATGCCAATTATTTTTATGACAGATCTTATTGATGGATACTGTATGTTATACTATTAATAGTTTTCATGCTTTGTTCTGAGTTATCATTGCCATCTGAAGATTACTGGCAAAAAAATAGTATATATTTAGGAAGTAAATAGATCCCTAACTCGGTACATGTCCTTACATCTACCTACTACTTTTGCAAAGATGATTTTGTTTTTAAATTTACATTGAGAAAGTCCTCAAATTAACTCAGGGAAAAGAAGGAAATGCTAATGCTCAAACGAAATATATAATTTTATTTCCTAATATGATCCAAAGTATGGTGTAAGCGCTCCAGTAACCTCAGAACGACTGAGAAAGCACAGAGTTGACTAATATTAACTGTGTAGCACCTCAGGAACTCGAGTTGTGCCTATGTCAGCTCTCAATTAGTGCAGCTTCACACTGAGAAGGAGATTTAAAAACAATGGGACATCATTAGTGGACATTCATAGTACAATATTTTGCCAACCTACCAAATGTCTGCTTATGAGCCATCCACAGGGTCCCACTAAAAAAGAAAGCAATTTCTTAGCTACTTTGGTAGTATGTGAAACTTGGGACACAGGATGAGATAATAAAGGGAAGGAGAGGAAAATACCACACACACAGCTACCCATTGATGGACCTGTGTTTAAAAAACCTGACATGGGTTAGCGCAGTCAGTTAAATCACTTTAGGATCCTTCTCTGGATTTAACAATTTGAAGAAACCCAACTAACCCAACTTGATTAAAAGGTAAGCATTTTAATATACCCAAATCTTTGATTTTGGAATGGTTTTATAACATCTTCCAGGAGATAATTTAAAGTCACTGACTCCATAATCAAAGATGAGCAGGTAATAAGTGACCTCTAGAAGTTGTGTTGTGCGTGGTGGCTATAAACACTCATCCTTCTTCTTGTATGCTCTTCATTTTTTTTAACTGCCTATCTTAACCTCATTGACAAAGGACATAGAAAAGATTTACTTTGCGTTGGGGCCTAAGAATATGCTTGTAGAAAGAGCCAGGGAGACCATTTCCATATGCAGTTGCTGCTTATTATGAGTGGCTAAAAATTGAAGTCTTTAATGGCCTAGCATGATAAGCATTCTCTCTGAAATATGAATAGAAATTGCATCAGAGTGTTCTATTCTCTTTTCTTTTTATGTTGAGAGTCTTTATTAGAAGGAGATTAATTGTAAGTAATATCACAATCATCTTTGAGGATTTTGTTACTCATTATATGAATGACTGCATAGAAATGTAATAGTTTTCTAAACTGAAAACTAATACAAGAAAAAGGAGCATTATATTAAAAATAAACATGACTGGTCAATTTTAGACTCTTCAGTATTAGACTTCTGTGGTATATATTATCTAGCTATTGGATAACTTTTTAATTCACTAACAAGGGAAATAGAAGTATGTAATCTAATCTCTATTTTCCTAAAGGGTAATCTGTATAATTAATCTCCCAATTTGTTAGTGTGTTCGTGTGTGTGTGTTGTGTGCGCGTGTGTGTGTCTGTTGTGTAATATAAAGGTGCTTGTAAATCATATCAAATCTCTGGAGAATTAATTGACTCCAGCTTTATTTTTCTATGTGGACATACTTACTGAATGTGGATAAGTGCAATTAATAATTTAATTATTAATCATTGGATAATATGCTGGAAATCATTTGTTTTTATATGATCATTTTTCTTTTCACACTATAACTTTCTTTGAAGATGCTATACTACTTAGATATTACCTTACCCCTTATCATCATGGCTTTTATAAACTATTTTCTACCTTAGATATTAGAACCTCTGAATTTCCCTAAAGAATCTATTTGCACAAAATATGATAATGAACAACATATAACCATTGAAGAGAAACAGATAAAGATGCGATATATTCTACGATTCACAGCTAACAAATTTAAGGCTCTTACAATATACATTTTACTCTCCAAGATCCCTTATCAACCCTTTAGCCACCAATGTTTGTGGCTGGAGTAGTTGTTGATATTTACATCTCTAGAATCTCACTCTCAGAAAGATCTGACCTGGTGGAGTATCTTATATACATCAGTCAAAAGCCTAACTTTTACCTGTCTCCCCACTATTTTTTCTTTGGCAAAAAAAGAAGGATTTTGTTTGTTTTATTTGTTGCTTATTTTGAGTTAATAGAGTCATATTCTTTAGAAAGCAATTTAGCAACCAACTTTTATTACCATTGTATGTCCTTGGGATACCGTCACTCTTCTCCATTTTGGCTTTTCAACAAAGGAAGAAATCTTAATGAACGAAATAGTCTCAGTCTGTTAAACTCATGTGGGCTTTAGAAAGTCATGTAAACTCTGCAAAGTATCATTGGTGTCAGATGAAAATAAAGAGTGGTGTGTTGTAGTAGTAAATGCAGAGGAAACTTTATGAATTAAGGATACTGCTCCTAATGAAGACTGAGAAAAGGATTATTAGTTAAATGATCCGAGTTTCACTGGTGAAGGAAAAGAAAGGTTATTTCAGTTGGGTGGGTGTAGCTGCTCAGCTGACATCACTAATTTTGAATTTACTTGCTTTTTTATTTGATAAATTTGACATGCTACAATTTATAGTGTGTATAGCATGTTACTTTGATTCATTTATATATTAAAATATGATTGTCATTGAATTACTATCAGTGCATCATTATAGTGCAATATTATTAATTATGTTCATTATACTGTTCATTCGATCTCTCTGGCTTATTTACTACTCATTACAAGTTCGTATCCATAAGCACCATCAACCTTATTCCCCCACCCTTTATTCTCTGTTAACCACCATTTTAGTCTGTTTATTTATTTTTTTATAAGTTTAACGATTTTTAGATTCCACATATAAAGGATATCATATAGTACTTGTCTTTCTCTGACTCATCTCATTTAGCACAATGTGCTCAAGATCTATTCATGTTGTT